ACACACACACACACACACACACACACACACACACACACACACACACACACACACACACACACACAGAAACTCTCTATTCACTCTCACTTTCAGCTGTCTCACTCTCACCTTCCCACTCCCTCTGTTCCGCCATCTCTGCTGCTTTACACCGTCTCCTTACCTTTCTCTCTTATATCTTTCACTCTCCTGCTCATCCCTCCCCAACTCCTTGCTCTATATCTACGAAATGATGCAGTTTTTGCTCTTCCTCCTCTGGCGGGTGTGCAGCTGGCCATGAATCGGTCCGTGAAGAGGTCCGTGATGGCCACCTATCCCAGAGGGACTGTAGCGATGGCGTCGCTCCTCGTTATTGATGTAGCACAGCTGCACGGGCCGAGGGATTGGTTCTCCCATAAAATAAGCCTCTTCTTCCTCAGACTCGGAGGAAGAGGAGCAGCTAGAGCACCAGGGGTCAGCAGCCTCCATGTACCCATCGCCCCAGCACGGCCCGCCCAGGCCGACAGGTTGCCAGCCAGCATTCTGCAGGGTAAGATCAGAAGTGGTGCGGGGACAGGGCCGGTGAAGCTGCTGCCTGTACCCGCCCGGGTCCAGCCCGAACAACTCCCGTGCAGCATGACCAGAGGGGAAACGATCATAATCCTCCTGAACGCGACGGTACGGCGGCTCCATCATTTGAGCAGGCCGGTCTGCGACCAGGTGCAAGGCGTTGTCAGAGCGAGAGCGGCGAGAGCGTTTGTGGTGGCGGCCACTGCGGTGCTGGCCGTTGCCGTTGTTCCCACGATGGTGTTTGCGGCGTCTGGGTTGTGGCTGCTGGTTCTGGGTCACAGATTCCTGCCCGCTTAAGCTTCGGCGGGGCATTCTGTCACTCATGGGAGCCATCCGCAGATTCCCACTGCTGCCCATCACCCCGACACGACCTTTACCATCAAAGCCGAGCGGCTGTGGGCCATCCCAGTACTGCAGTGGGTAGCCGACTCTCAGAGGGGTGTACATGTTGTTGTTGTTGTATGGGCGGGAGGAGGACAGCGATTCTGTGCTGTGGAACTGGACTGAGGAGCTGAGGGTACCCATGTTGCTCTTTTCAGACACATTTACACCTGAATCTTTACTCAGGTCAGGCATGGAAAACCTTGACAGATGCTCCTGACGCTTGCTGACTCCATCTAGAGAGTTACCTGTTACAACAAGAAAAAATAAAAAAATAAAATGTCATTTTTTTAATATAATCTCATATAAATGACCTTAACTTTAGGCTTTTTAACCCCATACCTGTAGCATTAGACATAGTTAGGGAGTCCATGGATCCACGAGGGGTCTGTTCTAGAGGAGTGAGGGGCTCGTTAAAGCTCATGGCATTGATAGGGTTCCTCCTGGTCAGTGGGGGTCTTCCATTTCTCTGGAATCCATGCAGACTGATACTTCTCTTGTCAGAGAAACCCTGATTCTGGCTAGACATCTCATTGAAGCTCATCTGGGTGCGCAGCTTGTTGGGTCTGAACTCATCCTGGCTGTGCTGCATCCAGTTTTCATTAAAGGAGTAGCCTCTCAGGGCAGCCATAGGGGTCCTCTTGGCATTCCCTTGCTCCTTTCCCCAGGAATCAGGCCTCTTTCCTGGGTTGGCAGGACTCTGGGCTGGTGGATGAGCATTCGCATTAGGATTGTAACCTTGCCTAGCATTACACTGACCCAGCAGATGAATGGGTGTAGGGCTAGGGGAGGGATCCCGCTGAGGGCCTTCATAGGAAGGAGGGATGTAGGGGTCATCTCGGCTCATCCACACCTGGTTTAGGCTTGGGGCTCGACTTGGAGTGCGGCTAGGGGTGCGGTTAGGCGTCCTGCTTGGAGTCTGACTAGACGTGAGGCTTAAGCGATCCATCTGACCAGAGAGGGGATCCATATCAGCAGAGAGACGGTCGGGCATCGATGGAGGAGCTGACTGGCGGGGTTCGGTGCTTCGCCTATCCTGCTCAACATTCCTGCGCTCTTTCTTTCCGATCTTGGTGCTGTGGCGGGACTCACGTGAGCGAGCACTTTGGAAGGCAGAGTCTGAGGAGTCAGATTCCTCGGGATCCTTAATTGTTAAAATAAAAAAATATATATGTGCATAACTAGAAAACTCTTAAAAATGTATACTAATTAACAGCGGGTATATACATAACTAAATGAGGAGATGCTTCAGATGTATTTTCAGTTTCCTCACCTGTCCCGCACTGCAGGACCGTGAACAGAAAATCTGCCCCTGCTTTGGCAGGAAGGGGCGTCCAAGAAGGGAGCGCTTGCAACGGGCACAGCAAAAACATTCCTCAGTTGCATGCCAGTGCTGTCCATCATAAGTCATCTGACCTTGGTCAATGCCTTTAATAAGATGGGAACAAAAACATTTGACCATTTTTAGTATCGACACATGACGAAAAAACATCAAAAACTGATGTTAACCTTTAGCTATTAAGCAAATTTTTGTCAGATATGTTGATATGATACCTAATTTTTATCCGATATGCTGCAAGGCACTATTTACGTTATGAGCGAACAGAGCCCTTTGTCTCTTAAAGTAAAAATATTTATGATTTCATGCCCACAGATGATCACTCAGTTTGTAAGATAGCATGAATAAATTTCACCAGCACTACTCCCCAGCAAGAGGAAGCAATCATCTTTCACAGCTTCCATCTGGATACAACATGGGAGCACCCTCTGAAACACACACTTTCACTGTTACTGAAGCTTGGGATGATAATAACTATCCGCATTTCACTGCACTGAACCCGCCTCTCCACAGCTGTGGCACACAAGGCTTCCAGAGCTGATAAGAGTCACGCTTACAATAAAGGGCTGTTGGAGTTTTTTTTTCCACGAAGCAAGTACAGGAATAGCATGTCTGTCACTCTTGATAGCAATTCATTTAGATATCAGAGGACTTGAAACAACAATGAAAGCATGTTTAGTACCTATGTGTTCTCCACATGCGTCACAGTACTCTGCATAAAGGGACTCGAAGCAGTTGCAGCAGTGTGGTCGTCCATCCTTCATGATGTAGCGCTGCCCGCCAAGGGTGGTCTCACACTCGTAGCAACAGAAATGCTTCATGTGCCAGTGCCGGCCCTCCGCCTCAGTGCACTCATCAGCAAAGATGATCTATATGATTAACACATTACATTTATCAGCAAGCAGATAACACACAATATCTACCTATGTTGCTATCCTGTATCTCAGGGTCCTGTATTTTATTCGTGTCACATCCTAGAATAGGATCCTTTTTGACATACTACCCCTTAATAGGATCATCTACCTCCACATAAACTGACAGGTAGGTTAGTAAACTGTTAGAAATTCCACCAAAGCGTGAGTGTTCTCAAGTGTAAAAGTCAGGCATATTTCAGCTGAATAAAAACGATGATCTAGGCATCCTTTGTGCTTGCATTTTATAATATTCATGTAATTATTTCACAAAATTACCTTATAAAGAAACTAACTTAAAAGGTATGTACGTGACATCAGATTTATATCTTCCAGTTAAAGATAATTAAACAGTTTAATCAAATAGAAATTCTCTTTCCAATACTTGCAGAGCACTGTGGCCTGACTTATTATTCAAGCCCGCTCACTATAAATTACAGCGGACTTTCCGAGACGTGGCAAAGACACTGAGACATCTTTTCCCTCCAGACTGATTCCAACCCCATCCAAGTCTGTGAGCATGAACCATTCAGCCATTTCCAACCCCAAAGGGCTCCAAGCCCAGACAGGCGCACCTCATCACAGGCACAGCAGCGGGGTTTCAGCCTCTCGGCATGGTGCCGGCCACAGTAGATCTTGCCATCCTGGTGGAAGTATATGAGGTCCACCAATACTTCCTCGCATGTGCCGCAGACAAAGCACTGAGGGTGCCAGCATTTTCCATGACCCGCCCTTGGTGCAAAAACTACAATGTCCCCTCCATTTATCTGACCCCCACACTGTAGGAGAGGAAAGGAAAAGAGAAGAAATAAATGTCAATGAAAAGAAACAAAATCAAATGAAAGGTACGAAAGAAAGTGAGAGAGTCAGGTAGTGATGGAAGAAAAGGCAGACAAAGAAAGAATGAAAGCTGTAAGGTGTGAAAAGAGACAGTATTGAATATTTTCAAGACTAACATGCTTTTATGAAGGAGAATTAAAGATATTTGCTACACAGACGATGCCCCAAGTCCGGAAAAAGTAGGTCATTATGTAAGGAATGAAAAGATGTTGGTTGCGTGGTTTACCTTGTCACAGGCGGCCCCATTGATAGTTAGGGGGAAAGGACGGACATTGCCTCGGCCCAGGTTATCTTTCTTCCGTTGATTGCTGAACAGCTTAAGCTCTCGTTTCTCCTCCTCGTCCAGTGCATTACAATATCGTACCTGAAACAACACGACTCATTATTGGAGCTGAAACGCCACCTAACCTCTGGAAATCATAAGAGTAAAGAAAAGCCTTCGTGTATTACTCAGAATTTTGTTGTGTAGTTTTACCTCATTGTCATGTGGTGGCAACTGGTGAAGCAATTGCTTGATGCGGTATTTCTCTCCAGGGCTGTTGATATAAGGAACCTTCTCCTCTGGTAAGCAGTTATAATACTGATGCACCTGAAACAGAAAATGAAACGTGGTTTTGCTCTTGAGTGACCTCTCAATTTCAAAATGTGTTTCAGCACATTTGACAAAAGGTAAAGTAAATATTTTCTACTCCTTTTTCAGTGTGCTTAGTCTCAACTCACCCCGATATAAATAATCTACGCGTTTTGTTACAAAATCCTTGATTATGTTAGTTGCTAACCTCATCTGTCTGCTGTTTGGTGCTCATAACAACTTGGAAAGTCGGAGGAAAATGTTTCTAAATAATTTGCCAAGTTCTTTACATCACACACAAAAGCATGATGGATGAAGTAAAAACATCTGTTTGGAGGTTGAAAGTTTTGATTTATGAGAGAAATTTGCATATTGCACACAATTCTTTTTTATTTTAATTTGCACTAAAATATAAGGTTTTGTTGGATAAGGAGTTGTTTCAGAGTTTTTCTTTGGACATTGACTGCTTTTTTTTACTCATTTCCAGTCCAGGTCTTGTACCTCACCATTTTAGGAGAAGTCTTTTTTGTTTGTAGAACAACGTAACACTGACCTATAAATCATTCAAGCTTAAAAAAGGGCACCCAATTCAAGGTGCGAACCAGTGTTGTGTCTACACATAAAAGCAAGTTAGTAAACTGTATCATCGGGCATTTGCAGCCTGTTGCAAAAAACATCTTTAGTTAAATCTACAAAACATGCCAAAGATAACATTGTTCGACACATATTAATTGTATTTTTGCACCAACAACATGAATACCAGTTATTAGCCAAAAACTTGATCAGCATGGTGTGCAGTGTGTCCTTACAAAATTTGAGGAAAATGGACAAAAAAACCCCCCACTATCCAAGAAGCTGATTAAACAAGAACTGGACTGAAAATCAGTGGCAACAGGTCTTATGGAGTGATGAATTTAAATTCAAAATTTTGCTTCAAAATGTCATCAATATCAAAAGATAGGCACCACAGTGGGCATCTACAGCCATCTTTAAAAACACAGTGGAGGTTCTGTCTTGCTTTGGGACTGCATTTTAGCCAGTGGTGTTGGGGATCTTGGCAAAACTAATGGATGAATGCAGAAAAGTACCATCCAATTTTGATCCAGCATGCAAAAAAAAATCTGGAAAGCATCTGGTTGGCAGCAGCTTCATTTTTCAGCATGACAATGACCCCAAACACACTGCCAAGTAATGGATTAAAAAAAATAAAATAAAATAAAACAACACAGAATGAAAAGCCTATCAGTCATGGATTGGCCTCACACACCCCAATATTATTCAAGCAGTGTGGGATGATCTTGACAGAGAATGGAGCAAAAAAGGCAGCCAATATTCAAAACAAACTTCAAGAAGCCTGCTAAACTCCCCCTGCAGATTAAAGAAATTAAATGAAAGCTTGTCTAAGAGCATTCAGACTGTGTTGAAGAATAAAAGGTGTTGATACTGTATTTATGTTCGGTAAAATTATATACTGTAAAATTTACCGCATTGTTATCGAAAGAAACAATACAGTAGAGAAATGAGGTCCCAAAGAATTTTGTACAATACAGCAGATGAGGTTGAACAGTTATTTAAAAGAAGTAACTATGATAAGATGAATAAAGTATAAGCTATTTTGTTTCTGCATTTTAGCTTTAAACCACATGAACACATGAGACTGAACAATCTGCAGGAATTCATATTCAGTGCAGCTCTGATAAGAGTAAACCACAATAGTAAAGGTGGGCAGAAAAAGAGCAAGAATAAAGCACTTATGTGATCCACTGTAAATATAAAAATATTAAATGGAAAGTACTGTACTCGTTTTAAACTCCTGTTTCTGATCTTGAACTTTCATAGAGTACTTTGCATGAGTCAGTTCAAAATAATCTTTATTTAATTTAGACTTTTCCTTGATGGAACTCCTCAGTTCAGTCTTCATCTAACAAACATTTTTAGTTCTGTTTCTAGTTCCTCAAAGACAACTTCCTTCTGCTCGGCTGGCACTCACAAATAGATGGTTTAAACAGCCGATGAGTTTGGGCTGCTGTGCTCACAGCTGGAACTGTGTGTCTGAGATGACCATGTCGAGGATATCTACTCTTTTTCACATCATACAGAGGTAAGAGTAGAAACCGATCGTTTAGTCTGAAGCCTGGGGTTGTGGCTTTTATAGATTACGACAATGAATTTTAAATCATGATTGATCTGTGAATTCCAATTATAAAATTATGATAGACAGAAGAAATAACTATAATTTCTTTAGTTATGTCAAATTTAAAGTATATTTTAAAGCTTGCCTATACAATAGCATCCAAATATCCACAATTTGTTCTTTATACAAAGATAAAAGTTGGCTGTTTTAAATAATCTACATTATTTCACTGATTCATGGAAAAAATTTTATGTCTTTCCCTTGGAAGTTGGTGTCTGGAATTGAAAGTGTTCAGCACATTGAGATGTGTGCTGCTGCTGCAGGCACAACCTTGAACAGCACCAGGTTCTTTAAATTTTCAGCAGCTAATATTCGCATTGCTTAAAGGAAATCTTAAACTTGCACTGCAATTATAATTCACGATGCAGTAGCACTTGCCATCCGTGCCCTGAACCCTCTTTTGTAATTAAATGCTAGCCGATGAAACAGAGAAAAAGCCTTGAACGGTGTTTGAGAAGTAAACACTGAAAGGATAGAAAGCAATCTTGTTACTTGTCTCAGATTTTCAACAAAACAGGCTTTCAACGCAAAGTGGTTCAGTGTTCAGTGCAGTGTAAAGATCTATTTTACTGAAGTTTCTGCTCATTCAATTTACTTAATCAGTAGGGTGGAGAGTGATGGAGAAAGGTGGTTCTTCTCCGTGTTGCCCGTCACGCTCGCGCTTTACTCTGTGCTGAGGAGGGTGACGCCGACTCTTATGAGAGCCGAAATCATTTGCCTTGAACCACTTTTCTCTGAGAACTGTCTCTCAACTGTGCAACAGGTGGACTTTAAAATATTAAGCACATCGACGAATAAGACCTTTCTTCACTCTCTTCGAAATTTCTTTGTTAATCGGGAAGCAAAAATACTTTAAATCAGGGATAAAACTTCACATTCATTCAGTGTAAAGACATTTTCTACATGATAAACGTAGAAATGCTGCTGGAGTAAATGACTGACGACTCTTTTGGCTCAAGTTGTAAGAAATAAATGTGTAAAAATGACAGATGAAGCTACAGACTGTCCTGTAATTATAAAATGTAAAATTGATTTTTTTTGGTGTTATTTAATTGTTTATTACTTATTTACTTTGGTGTGTAAATAGCCAGTACGATGCTGTTTTTAGTAGGAAATGCTGAAATTTATGCCTTCAGTTATGTCTTTCCAAAGCCGCCCAGTGGGCCAAATTGAAGTTGTTGGCGGGCTGATTTTAGTCCTCGGGCCTTAGGTTTTACATACCTGCTTTAAATGGTTTAAATGTGATCCATTTCATGCAAATTTGTATAGGAATCCAGCTTATTTTCATTACTGGTTACCATGTTGCTCATCTTGTCCAGTCCAAAATCCACAGGTAAACAGGAACAAGTGACCTTGACAATAAATGCAAAATTGATAAACTAACTAATTAAACTAGCAGTTATTCAGCTCTGAATTTACTGGAATCTCTAGCCCACCAAATCCTTTTTTTTTTTTAACTTGAACCTCTTAAAGGAAGTTGTTTAGACAAAAAAAAAGCAAAAACATGTTACAACAAATATTGAAAAGATCTACTGTTAACAAAGTTCATTCCTCCCATCCAATCCTGATACAACAAAACATTTTTGAAAAGGTAAATGTTTTCAGCTGGGGAATTTGAGTCCTGACAGCTTGATGAACTATGCTGCAAAATTGTGATTATCTTTTAAAATGCAAGTCTCTTTAATTGTACAGAGAGAAATCAGATGTGACGGGCTTAAAATTCATTACGTTCAAGTGTATTAAAAAAAGAAACGGGCAGCTTCAAATTGCCTGCACCTCCTGTTGGATGACAGAGGCTGCAGCCTCTTTCAGCATCCTGTCAAGATGGCTGACTGGAGAAAATGACTGTTATCAGCCCATCCTGTCATCTGTTAACAGAGTACTAGGAGGCCTGTTGCATTGGAGTCCTTCTCATACTAAATAAAGACAGAAGTGTTTATACCGAATATAGTTGAACACAACCGTGCTTATCTTATGTCAGAGCTGACAAAAACAACAGGCAAAAATAAAAAATGAGGAGGAAATATCTTCCTCTGGATTTACAGAGCCAATTGCATTAGCTTGGTCATGCATGCAATTAAAAGGCATTTAAACTGCAAATGAGTCCAGACAGAGAATTGCGAAACTGGTACGCATAAACATGCTGCCACACATTTCCAATTAGATTCATCCAAACATTCACTGACTCAAATTACTTCCAGTCCTCTGGGTTTAAATTTGCTAAGTTACAGTAAAAAACAGAGCAGACTGAGGCTTAGTGTGCCTAGAAGACCACATAGTCATCATGTTTACTCGATACTGATCAGTGAAACAGCCTTTTCAAAGTGAATCCTCCTATATATTTGAAATTCTTGTACTTTAAACTCATCAGAGAGCATTTCAACATTTCATCAAATCTTTTGCTGCTTCGCATCTGTTCTTCAGACAATGCAATCAACTAATCAGTGTGTGGTTGCTTTTCATGATTTCAGTCATGGTTGTCAGTCTGTCTGACTCTCAATTTGGTTTCTACACAAAGTCAGATTAACACTGACAGCTGTAAAATGTCCTTACAATTATTGCTCCCTGAAATGCTTGACAGCATAGCCTTAGTCTACTGTAAGCCATCCCTGCCCTTCTCCCCACTCTAACCCGTAAGAGACTACAGCACCATGAAGGGGATTTCAAACAATGATGATATGTTGTCGTGTTTTCAGATGAGTGAATTTTCCAGCTCGGGATTACTTCGATAGATACTTTATTATCCAAATAATTAAATTCTCTTGACCGACTTGGTTCAATTTGATACGGTCTGGCACTGTTGAACAACAACAGAGAATATCTAATGAAGTACTTATTAGTTTGTTTGTATCTGTAACTATATACCTGCTCAGGACTGAGGCCAGGGGGAACCCAAGCATATTCCTCCAGTGCACATCCAGAGTCATCATCAGAGGTCGAATTCCTCTGGAAATCGTACATCAGCTTGGTGATGGTCTTCTCCATCTCCAGAGACATGGCTGTCACAACATGCTCCACTACCCAAACCGCTTGAGTGGACACAGGTATTCCTGTGGAGGAAACAGGCAGGAGAATGAGGGCGAGGCAAAAAGAGATTGCAATAACAAAAAAACAAAACAAAAAAAGAAAGGAAAAGACAGATGATCTAGAGCAGCGGCCTCCAACCTTTTTTGCGCCACAATATGCCCGACAATATTTTCACGGACCGGCCTTTAAGGTGTCGCGGATAAATACAACAAAATAAAACTAGTACCGGTACCGAAAAAAAGAAGATTTATTTATAAGACACGTGAAAAAACCGAGTTAACGATAAAAATGATAACAAAATAACGCTGAAAACCGATAAAAACCCTGAAAACCATACATTTCACACCTGAGCCTCAACTCTGGTGGCCCGGTACCAAACGACTCACGGACCGGTACCGGTCCGAGGCCCGGGGGTTGGGGACCGCTGATCTAGACAGATCAATCAAGGGATAGAAACTTTAGCATTGAAGGAACTGGTAGTGGTAATGTGTAGTGGTTTGCACGTTTGCCTAAGAATTCCCAGTTTTATTCCTGGTAGAAGACACAAATCTCTTTGGGGCATCCTTCTTGACGGGTAACAAAATCTGCCCAATCAAACATGTGGAGCTACCCGGCATGGTGACACTTTTTGAATAAAGAAGCAGCCATAAGTAATTTGTGGAGTTTGTGTGAAAAAATATTTGCTGTCTGTCTATCTCTTGTGTTTTTACAAATCAATACATCAGTCTGCAGCCACTACTAGCTCCTGATGGGTTTCACAGATTAAAGTTTTATTGTCACTGGGTGATTGTACTGCACAAACTAATTAAAATCCACTAAGAAGTCAAGGAGGCTGACGGTCACATCCAGGCCAAATTAATGTCACTTCACCCAAATCTGACCAATGCACCACGACCTATAGTACTGTCTGATTTTAAAGACTACTACTAGTCCAGCAACTGCTGTGAAAATAGAAAAGTGCTGACAAAACAAGACAAAACAATATGACGTTGACCTTGAGCGCAGTCATCAGATGACCACTGTGTGAAAGTTTGACTAAATCCTGACCAGTGTTCTTGGATGAGCAACGATTCTTGCAAACTGTGGACAGATGACAGACACCTCGCTATTACATAAGCTCCTCGGGTCCCCAGCCAACAAGATACCCTTTTTTTTACAAAAATAAAAACATAAATGTAAACTTCACAGTGGCTAAAGCTAGAAGATCCACAAAGTCAGTAGAATTAATAGGAAGTCAGTGGGATCTTTGTACAGATCTTTTAGAGATAAAGTTTGGAGAGCCCCAAAGTCAGTGGGATTGATCTGCTGGGGGTCATGGCTGGCTCTGCGGGAGTCTTCAAATCTGGCAATCCATCCAATATATAAATATTTCAGTCTGTAAGTGGCGTACTGACCAACAGCTTAAAATTTTAATCAAGTCTGTGAAACACATTCAGAATAATTTATTCCAAAAAGAAATTTACAAATATCAAAGTTGCTCGCCAGTCCCAGGACTTTATTATCAGCAGACAGTGTTTCATCTGCATTTACTGTGTTACTCAGAGGTATGGACAACAGATCAGTTCAATCTTCTCCTCCTTCTTTCTGTTTGAGAGGAGAACAGCTGCACACATTACTGGCACATGAATAATTAACAGCAGTAAAAATCGCCTCCACCAGCAAAGTATGAAAATGAAATGCAACTCATTTCGCAGGATATTTAGTGAGCCGGCAATGAGCACAGGATGGAGGTGTGTTTACATCTCATGGATTGTTATTTCAAAAGCTGATGAGTGGAGAGATATTACAATTAATTAATGCAAATTGGGAAAAACAATTGTTCTTTATAATGCTATCTATGTCTCATATAAAAATGAGAAACCCATTGTGTTGCAATTAAATAGTGCTGTCTGACCAATGCGGACATGTACATAAAGATGAGACAGCAGATGACACATTTGTTCTGTGTCTGTAGGTCGTGCATCAAGGTCATAGCACTTGAGTGAGGAAAACAACACTAGATGATGGTCGCGGGAAAGCGTGAACAAGCCCTGACATTTGTGATTCAAAATGATTTTTCCCAAACTATGATACAGGTCTTCTCTGGCAATTTCAGAGAGCAACACCATTTCCTGCAGATTAGAAATCACATAAAAACACAGCTTAAGCAGTGGCCAAGGAACAGCAGACATTTCTACCGACTGAGCCAGTGAGTCAGCCTCCTTCCAAGCAGAGCTGAGTACTGTTTATCTCTCTAAGATGGGTGCTGCTGATTTCTTTGTGAAGAAAGATCGCAGGTATGTAACCTTGAGCCTCTAGCCTGGCCCGAGGCTGTTCGTCATTAGTGCACAGAGGCTGAGTAAGAGTGGGCCTGCTGGGTAACCTGCAGCCTGTTGCTCCAGACAGGCATCACTTCAAATGTGATGTCCACTGGCAATGTGAAATCAGATCAGTGATTCAGTGCTGAATTTTAACAAGATTCTGTCATTATATTTATATGGTGACAAATTCTCTTGATACCATTGTTTCTATTGTCAATATTAAAGCGTCATTTGTACTCTGAGTCGTATGAGATTATGATCAGTCTGATATGGCAGTCGATATATATCACATTGACTGCCATGTGTTGTTTCATTGTTTTTTATTATGGTTGTTTTCTTATTTAAGTGGCGCCCACAGTCACATATGGCGTCACTTGTTGCACATTACTTTTAAGGATCAGCTGGTCATTGGTGGATAGCCCAGGCTCTGGTTGCCTAGGTAACCCTCTAATGTGTTTAACAGAGCTGTTGAATGGAATGACTCATTCAAAGGCTCTGGTATTTAGTACCCTGTCATATGTCAATCATCGGTATCCTGTGTGTTCAAAAGTCTATCTCAGGACCCCCACATTTTGCACTGCCAGCGTTTTTTTACCCACTGACTTTCTGTGATCTTTGGTCACCACGTCACTGCAAAATTGCTTCCTTTGTGTGACTGCAGCTTTATCAAAAGGCAAGTAGACTGATTTGTACATATAGCCAGCAGCTGGGGGGAAGAGGTATAGTTCAAAGTTAGAAAGAGGTTCAAGAAAACTAAAAACATAATAGACTGTATATAAAAGATAAAAAGCAAAAGCAACACAGAGGTGTCCTGGACTTGTAACCTTACAAATGGCCAGCACTAATTGCTCTCTTAATCTTTCCTGATAATTTTAGTATTTCATCTGCTAGTTTTAAGCTGTACTGAATACAATATGATCTTAAATTGATAAATCACAGTCCTCACTAGAGTCAAAAAGTACAAGGCAGGTCTGCTTTGTCATTGATAAGTTTCCCTATGAACAGATGGTGCCATTAGACTTCTATGCCAGATCTACCTTCTTGCTTGTCTAGCTTCTAAACAGCATGATGCCAATGGAGGTTTCACACGGTGACTTCACTAATCAATGACTGAGGTCACAAAAGCCAGATCTATCTTTTTTTATATCAAATGAAAGTTTATTACATGGAAATAAGCAACGACACCTCTGTTATAACTGTAAAAGAAAAGTAGCAAGCACTCCAAGTAGTCAAGGTTCCTGGCTAGGGATTAGTGACAACACTTTTTGTTAATTAAAAACAACTATAGATCTCATTCTAATGTTCTATGCATAAAATATACATCAGTAAGACAAAGCCACTGTGATGACGCGCTGATTGTTTCTGGTTTTGACATTTTTAAGTGAACCTCTTATCCCAAAGCAGCACACATGTCTGCTGATAGCGCCTTCATTTGATCTTATGGGCCTGGTGTCAGTGATTTGTTTGGACACGTAATGAACACCTCTGAGACCCCGATCTCCAAGTTATCTAAAGAGAGTGGCTTGGTTCAGCCAAGTATGTCATAAAGACTGAAGGCAGGGGGAAACATAGCTAGCCTTAATCTAATGAGGAATAATATGACTTCCCACAGCTCCAATATTACCTTAATTACATGTTGTGTCTTCTAAGCTAACAAGGCAGCCATAATTACACAATAATAAACTCGGTTTTACTCAGATTTTACAAACGTAAAAGTGCACAAGATTTTAATTCTGTTCCTTTGTTATGCTGTCATTACACAAATACAGTGTGTCATTTACAGTGTGTAAAAGAAAGCAGCTTATATTTTAAAAATTGAATACAAAACATACATAAGGCATAACAAACAAACATGCAATAGTGATCCTGTTCCCAGTATTTGTGCTACTGAGGAGCATTTGGGATTCATTTTGCAGCACAAATTGTTAGATTGAGAGGACGACAGCGTCACTGTTCGCACCAGTGCTTCGATTAATGGTCCCTTCACACCCCACTTATTAAGATGTACTGTAAGTCTCTACTGTGCATTATTAAACAAAGACACAGTGTCCAACTGTTTGACAACACAGGGTGTTGTCTTTACACTCTAACTTTTGACTGAATGCACATTCAGCTGGTACAGAAGGCTGCTGATGAGTGTGTGACTTTTTGACGTAATACACACTCGCCAGGCCGACTGGTTAGTCATAGCACTCTCCTCTGTTCTTCCCCAGCAACACAAAGAGAGAGAGAGGAGAGACAAGTTGTGAAGTTCTGTTTCCTGGAGGAGGCAACTTCGGCATAATGCATTTTCAGAAAAAATGGGTAATGTATTTAGAGACGAAACAAACATTTTAACAAAGTTTTCTATTATTTTTTTTAACTTACACGTAATTGCCTTCTAGGCTTTGAACATTTATTTCACATGCCTTTGTAAGTATTCCTGCCTCTTAAGAGAGTACTCTAATGGCTGATTCTGATTTTAGAAAATTATCATGTACTGCAATCATTTTTTTTCCAGTTCAAAACATGATGGTAATCTTTTTTTCACTAAAAATATATTTGCAATTTATTGCAAGAGAAAGTACAAAGTTTAAATGTTTCTAAACTATTTTCATAGATGTGTATTAACCATTTAAGTTGCCCCTATAGTGGCTTTTCTTAGTTTTTAGTTCCTAAAGCTCTGTTTCAGATCACAATAGGAGAAGGTTAGCCTAATGTTGTCATCTCAGTCACACAGCTCT